CCCTGCCTATATTTTTTTGCTTTAAATGGCAGAGATAACACATATCATTGTAAGAAAAAAAAAAAGACAACCAAATTTGAACATTTCCACCATGCCCTGTGCCTTTTAAGAGAAGCTGGGCTTGTACAGGCAGAACCAGGACTCAGTGCCAGGTCCCTGAGCTGGGAGGTGGGTGTCTGGAGAAATATTCTCCTGGGGCAGCACGGCCTAGCTGGACCAAGGGGTGTGTGAAACTGTGTATATAAACATGGCAAAATGGGGTCCCCCTCCCCTTGTCACCATGAGGGGCAAATGAGAGAACAACATGCCTGCGAAGGGGGCTGCAGTCCAGTGCGTCTCTGACCTTGACTCAGACCAACTCAGGCAGACAAATTCAGGATATTAGGCAAATGCCTACAGCGCAATATTAGTGCTCTCTCCTTCTGACCAGAAGCCTCTTCCTTCACCCTCCAGGCTCGGGTCTCCCTCACTGAAGCCCCAGCTGAAGATTCCAGCATCAACACCCTTTGTTTTGCAAGGCTTCTGCTCCTGTTTCCAAAAGATGCCATCAATGTGGCTCAGTGCCTGTGGCTCAAGTGGCTAAGGCACCACTCAAGGTGGCAGGTTCGAATCTAGCCCAGACCCGCCAAACAACAGTGACGGGTGCAACCAAAAAATAGCTGGGCATTGTGGTGGGCACCTATAGTCTCAGCTACTCGGGAGGCTGAGGCAGGAGACTCACTTGAGCCAAGGAGTTGGAGGTTGCTGTGAGCTGTGATGTACAGCACTCGACAGGGGGACAGCTTGAGGCTCTGTCTCAAAAAAAAAAAAATGCCATCAATGACAATCACGGCCCCACTGAATACTGGCTTTGTGTCAGGCTGGGGTCTAACCATGCTACATATCTTATGATCTTATTCAGTCCTCACGACAAGCCAAGGAGCTAGGTGGATCAATACCCCTGTTCTATAGGGGAGGAAACAAAGACTCAAGAGAGGTTGAGCAACTTGTCTGAAGTTGCACAGTGCTATTACTCCAAGGATTGGCCAACTCCGGAGCTCCCGTTCTTAAAATCTACAGCCCACTGCCAGTGTGTACAGCTGTGAATGCCAGAGTCCCCAGACTCAGGCCAAATGCAAGCAGAATCCTGCAGGGATGACCTTCACGGACAGCTGGAGCCTGGCTGTTTGGGGCAAATCCTCCAGAGGGGCTGGAGCGTGGGAGTCAGGTGAAGTATAGTGAGAGACAAGACCACAGGGCCAGCCCAGGTGGGGCCGTGAAGGCTGAGTGCTGCAGTGAGGCCTGGGGCTTTATCTTGAGGCAGCTACTCTCAAAAGGCCTTATACATAGAAATGTACACCAAAGTGTCTGTAAGAAATGCAGAGACCTGGCCTCACCCCAGGAAATTTAATTCGATCTATCAGGATGGGGCCAGGAGTTATGAATTCAAATTGCCCATTCTGTACACAACGCTGCTGTGCTCTGAGCAAGGCTTACCTGTGTTATTCAATCTTTTTTATCTCACGGCACACTTGAACCTGTAGTTAAACTCCTGCGGCATGCTTAAATTATGTTGATTTTAAAAAAAGTAAGAAAAAAAAAGAATATTCTACTGTACTTTAAACTTCTTTCAAAAATAATTTAATTAATGATTTTTAAAAATGTTTGCAACACACCCGTTGAAAATCACTGGCTAGCCAGTGACCAGCTTCGAATTTAAACCTACTCCAATAGCCCTGAGGCGGTACCATTTCCATCACTGCAGAAAGTTCCTCTGGCTGGCACTGCCCCAAATGGCACTCTTTCTCTAAGTGGGTCCGGAAAGGGGCAAGAGGGGAGTCAGGATACTAGTTCAAACCTGAATAATGTGCCCTGTAGACAACTTGATAAAAGTGAAACAGTGTTACTGAGTATTAGATATTGTAGCCGAAGGCTGGAAATTTGAGACTAATCTCTGCCAAGCAGAGAGTTTAGGGAGTGTGAGACAGGCGACCAAGACAATGGTGGCACCAAACTGGGACTTCCCCCTTTGACTTCTCTCTTTAATTAGGAGGATTGAAAGAGAACAGAGAGGCCAGGTGTGGTGGCTCAAGCCTCTAATCCTGGCACTCATGGAAGCTGAGGTGGGTGGATTGTTTGAGCTCACGAGTTCAAGACCAGACTAAGCAAGAGCAAGACCCTGTCTCTACTAAACACAGAAAAACTAAGGCAAAGAATTGGAGGTTGCTGTGAGTTACGATTATGCCATAGCATTCTAGCCAGAGTGATAGCTTGAGATTCTGTCTCAAAAAAACAAAAAGAGAGAGAGAGAGAGAGAAAGAAATAACTTTTCTTTTTTTGTTTCTATACACAGCCCTGAGACTGAGAGAAAGGAATAGCTTTCCAATCTGCGCCTCAATGTTCTATAACGTTTTTGACTGCTTGGTCCATTGTCTTGTGCCCCAACACTCTGTGACCTGTCCAGGGTCACGATACAGGTCGGCAGCAGAGCCAGTCCCCAGATGAGGATCTTCTGAGTAGACAGAGGGGTGGTTCCCACCTCACGGAGCTCACATTCCAGGAAGGGAGGTGGGGAATTTAAACAACTCTTCCTGTGATCCATTCCTCGGCCACAAGCAGTGGAACGCAGGGAGAGGCTCAGGGGCTGAAGAGCATGTGACCAGAAACCCCAGTAGAGGCTGGGAAGTTTGGTTGTCCCCCTGAGGAAGGGACACTTAACTCAAGACTAAAATTTGAATAGTAATTGGCCAGCTGAAGAGAGGAGAAAGAACGTCCTAAAAAACAGCATGTGTGAAGGCCGTTAGTGGAAAGGCAGCGATGGCCACTGGTGACACAGAGGAGACTCAGAGATTGTTTCTTGGCCCCCTAGTGATGCAGACCTAGCTCTTTGCTCATTCTCTGCTTGGCCCCTAAATGCCACTTCTCTTGGCAAAGAAAGGTCCAGCACTCACCTTTCACTTGCGATGGCCCACGTGTGAGTGCTAAAGGGTCCCCTCTCTCTGTGGCTTCCTCCCAGAACACCTGCCCTGCTGTGCTCTGTGGACAAATGATGTCTTCCACCAAGGCCAGGAGATAGTTGATATCCATCATGTTCGCTGGGTCCCATCCTGAGGCAGGGGTCGGCACCTTCAGGGCTTTAAACAGGGAGCTAACGAGTCTCCACATGTCCTGGGAGGCAGCACAAGGGTAAGTGGACATGAGCCCCCAGGGAGGAGCATAGCACAGGGGCCCAAGTATGTGCCTGGCCAGCAATCTGCACAGGAACCCTCACTGCCCACTGAGCCATGACATCAACCTCCCCAATCTTCATCTGTCACCTCCCCCACCAATCTTCTGGGAATTGGACTCATTCTGGGCTGTATTCCTCAAAGTGTGGCACATAGTAGGGTGCTCAATAAAAACTCACCAGGTGCGTGAATGCAGAGGAAGCAGTCTCTTCTATGGGTTGGAATATTTTGTACACAGTAGGTACTCAAAAACGGTGTGCATATGTATGCATGTGTCTGTGTGTGCACAAGTCTGTGTCTCTGTGTGCATGTGCATGTGTCTGCGTTTATGTACATATGTTCAGCTGATGAATCTTGGCAACCGAAGCTGTCGGACCACGTGTGGCTGCCAGGCCCCAAACCCTGCACCCTGATTTCTCCTGCTACAGCACCTTCTCAATACTAGGTGGGGTGGGAGACATGCCTTGGTCACTGCCTCAGGAGTCAGAAGGTCATTCTCCGCGATCTGTGCTGAGGGAGTCAGGTTGGGGGACCCCTGGCTCACTTTCTTGGTGTCCAGCTCCTTCACAGCCCGAGGACGGGTATTTCGGAAGATCTGAACGATCAGGAGGTTGATGGGGAACATGAGGAGGGAGCTCTCCAGGCCAATCATCACTTCCTGCCACGTGAACTCAATTTTACCTGAGGAAAGGGAGGGAGGGATCAAAGGAAGAGCCACCCCCAGAACCCAGTCCCCTCCACCCCATCCAGCGGTGGCCGTGCAGTGAAGAGTTAACCTTGCCAGCATCTGGAAGGTCACCTCTAAGCCCTCGGAGTGTCTTATCTGGTAAGGGTGAATGTGTTTACCTGGGGGCCTTGGGTCAGGCCAGTCTGTGACAAGGGTGTGATTTATGGTAGGACCTGGGCCACCAGCTGTCAGCTGGATCCCTGGAGGAGTGTCTTTGGTCATACATGGTTGTCAGGAGAAGTTGCCACTATCCCCAACCCCACAGGGAGAGGACGACTGGAAGCTCACGCCTGGTCTCTCCTAGGCCTGTTCCCTGCATCTCTCTCTCTTCTCCACTGATTTTAACCTATATCCTTTTGCTGCAATAAATCATAACTGGCTTTTCTGAGTTCTGTGAGTCTTTCATGTGAATCATGGAACTCGGGTGTAGTTTGGGGGACTCTGGAGTTGCCCCGGCATTGCTGGGGCGGTGAAGGCTCACGTCCACCAGCCACCAGCCCCGCCCTCCACAACCCTGGACACTACCCAGGTCCATCTTTTGCTCAGCCGGGTCCTGGGGGATGCTCCAGAACATGATGCTGGTGAGCATGGTGCAGAGGAGCAGGGAGAAGCAACAGGACACCCTCTGCACACGGGTGAAGTTGCTCCAGGCTGAGCGGCTGAAGATGGAATACCAGATGTGTCCATCCTGGAAGCCGGTGGAGGTCTTCATAAAAAACAGGTGGCTGTGGGCAGGCAGGGAGAGAGGGACCATTTTGGTGTAATAAAATGATGAGTTGTTTTTCAGTCGCTATGAATCTTGAGGTTGCAGGTCACATAACCTGAGAGTGCCTAGCTGAACCAAGTGTGCCTAATTTGTGAGTTGGGAGCCAGCTGGAACTAAAGAATCAACCACAGGCGGAACAAAAGTGCTTAGGTGGGGTCAGGAGAAGAGGGACCAAATTAAGAAGCAAACCTGCGTAGCGTCTCATGGCATAAGCCAATCAGATCATGTCTCCTGGCATCTCCTCTTGGCAAGATCCAATCAGATTACTCCTTGTTATCCTCTCCCTATAAAACCTGCCCCAGCCACCATATTGGGGAGACAGATTTGAGTGCTGCCTCCAGTCTTCTTACCAGTCAACGCACAATAAAGCTTTTCTTTCCTCAAAAGCCAGTGCCATAGCATTGGCTTCTATGTGTGCTGGAAAGGAAGCCTGTTGCTTCTTGCTAACAGTTCAACCCAAACAAGTTCTCCCAAAATGATGCTCATGATATGTTATTAAAGGAAAAGGCAACACTCTGGGAGCAATGTGCTGTTTAAAAAGATATAAAATAAACAACGATCTATAGCATTGAGCGTGTGTGTGCACCTTCGTATCTGCTAAGGTGTGTTTGGAGACCAACCGAGGCGAGTGGAAACACAGCAGGAGAGGGGGCAAGGAAGTGACAACCAATGGGGAGCATCTACTGAAAGGTCCCTCTAGGGTACAACTCTGTGGAAAAGGACCCCCAGGGCCAGATAGTGAATCACCATTCAAATCGGTCTGTTCACCAGTAATAAGAAATTTTATTTGGTGGTATTCATAAGGAAATAAGGGTAACTGTGCCATCTGGTCTCACTGATAGGAAGACAATTTTGTTTTGGAGGACCCATGACCCTCCAGGGTCTCAAAAAAACTGATTGTTCACTTCTGTTGTACGCGCACACCTGCCCAGGGCCACCTACTTTTATTGCGTTGCAAATGGATTGTGATGCAACTGCTCTTGAGATGAAAGAACAAAGCAATGAGGATTTGATTTAAAAAAAAAAAGTACCTGAATTGTTTCCTGTCCTGCTCCGTAGCAACTGGAAATACTTTGTCAAGGACACAGTCTCCAACATCGATGGACAGCCATGAATTACAGAGGAAATACCACTTCTGGTCCATTGCCAGGTCACAGACCAGCACCCGGCTCACATACCTGGAGAAGGGACCCCCAGTGTTGAAGATAAGGTGTGTGTTGAGGGGATGGGTGAGGGTGAGACTTCCTTGGACACCATGATGATAACACCTTTGCAAAAGCCAAGAGTAAGAGCTCCTGGGAAAAGACTCTATTTTTTTTCATCATTGTTCTTGGTGCTTGGATCAAAATTGGCCTCAAGTGGGAAGTTCAGGTAGTGCAAAGAGCCAGCTCCGGGAAGCTGCCACGCTTTCACAAATACACTGCAGAGCATGCCTTGGGAAACTATTCACCCCACCATGTGGTGCCAAGCCCAGGGCCAGTGTCCAGGCATGAACCAGCAAAGCCAAGCTGTCTGGAGCGCACAAAGCACGGTCCTCACTTGGGCTCCTACTCAGAGAACAAGTCCATCGTCTACCTGGGGCTCTGCACACCAAGGGTATCATGTAACCTAATTTGGGTCTTTGAGGCCTGGGGAAGAACTGAAATCATTCTGCCTGTGCCAGGATGGCAGCTCCAGGACCAGTGCGGCCAACAAGCATGGTAATGGTAACAGTAGCCACCCTTCATGGAGCATTCTTTACGTGGTGGGGACTACGCTAAGATGCCCTTGCTGTGCTTCTCACTTCAAGGAGGACAGTCCCATCAGGGATGCAAAAGCCACCTCTGTCAAGGTCACGTGCTCTCCTGAGGTGGCAACATGCAACGATGTAGTGCTTGCTATGATCAGGGCCTGAGCAATTATATCCAACTAGGGACAGTTCCAGAGCCTCCAAGGGGTCAGACAGGCTGGCGTTGAATTTTCCCTCTGCCCCTGCTGTGCCCCCTCCCTTCCCAGGTGCTGGGTCCAGGCATCCCTCAATAAACACCTGCATGCTCACCTCCATCTCAGAGTCCACCCCTACAGCTGATGTGTTAACTCTAATCCCCTGTGGGGATCAAAGACAGCAGCGTAAATGCTGTGTTTTTCTAAAGTTGCCAGCTGCTGATGGGTGGTCAGCCCAAACCCCATGCATCTCGGTCACTAGTTTCGGCTTCAGGTAGGATGGGGAGAGGGACTTTGCTCTGAACTTGCCATCTGTGTGACCTTGGGCAAGTCACAGGTTAATGCACAAAAGGGCCAAGAGTGGGGCTGGCACCAGACTCCTGGGCTGCAACGTCCACTCTTTCTCCAAGGTAGTGATCTATCTTGTGTGGACCATGAAATACAGTGGGCCTCCGTGACCCTCGGTTTCCTCATCTGTGAAATGGAGATCCATTCTTGCCTCTTGCAGAGGCTCGTGAGGATCAGGAAGGCAGCAAATGTGCAGTGCCCAGCCCTGGGCCCCATGCTTTGGAAACCCTCATGGTTTCCAGAGCCAGACTCACCAGGATGGCCGGTCCCCTGAGTTGTCATGCCACAGCCTGAGGCTCTGCAGTTCCCCCAGGGGGAACAGGGTGGAGAGTAGGAAGGCATCCACTCCTCCTCGCTCAAAAACCGGGGTGTCAGGGTCAGACAGGTGGTGGGGCTCACTCTCTCCATCCAGACCATACAGGGTGAGAGTCACCTGGAATCCAGAGTCAATGCCGCTTGATAACTGTGCTCCACTGGCCTTGCCTCATTGGAATTGGCCAGAAACCCACACAGCCCTATGAAGCCCCACCCCTTGGCCCTCTCCTCTGATTCTGCATTGGACCTGCTCAAATTATTTTTTTAGTTATATGCAGATTTGGGCTGGCATTATCTGCATTCACATCTTCAATATCATTTAAACCCATCAAATGCTTCCTGGAGATATTTCCAAACTCTGTGCATATTTATTTGCAAAGTCAATAGGGCAGGTGCTGGTCCCTCCCCCCTCCAATCAATAATTATTTCCTCAATGGCCCCTCAGAGTGCTTGGCACTGAAAAATGAATGAATACCTACTTCTTTGAAAATTCATATCTCCAGGGTCGACCCTGGACCTTTCTGAGTTATAGGTAACAAACTCAATGTCTAAGCCACTGTTGACCAGTGGGCATAAGGCTGGACCCTAAACTTCTTTTCATCACTCGTCCTCCATCTTTTTAAACATTGGGGCTTAACATATTTTAAGGAAAGACAAAAAGGTTCTTTCCTCTAAAAATCAAAAGCAAAAGAAAAAAAATCTAACCACACAAAACCCGCTGTGCTAACACAGCTCCACAGTGACACAGTGTGGCTGGGTGGGACATGCTGACTGATGGTCAGGTACCTTTGAGGACGTGGCTGCTCCTCGCCGGTGGCCAGTGTAGACTGTCACCAGATAGTGGTACTGGGCAAAGGGATCATTGTCTTCCAGCACTGTGACCTTCACCTGTTCAGAGGACAGCATTAGAAGGGCCCTCCTCATGGGCTCACACATTGCACCTCAGATGAGAGTGAGGTGAGCACTCATGACGCTGAAGGGCCAGAGTGAAGTCATGGTTGCCCGTGGTCATTCCATCAGGGGGGAACCTCTCTTTACATCAGCAGGACTTCAAGCCAAACATATCCAGAAGATAAAAAAGCACAAAGTGCATCCTGTATTAGATAGGTCCCCACGTGGTGAAATTGATGAAGTTGATACCAAGCAGAGAACGTTTAGTGCTTGACCTGGTGAGCCATATAAACTCTGTTCACATGTATTTCTCAAAACAGTTGCAACCAGACCGTGCTTCTGAGGGGATTTAGAAGAAATGAAATGTTAAGATGGTTTAAAAAATAAATAAATAAAAGAGACATACACTACATACATATTTATTAGCTGGAGTTGGTCAGAGGCTCTAGTGGGCTCTGAGATGCGTTGCCCAGATCTCCCTCTGTGGGAGCCCCTCTTGCACCAGGTGCTGTTGCCAGGGATGCAAGAGCCACCTCTGCTGAGGTTGTGCCCTCTTGGGGCAGCCGGCTTCCAAAGATCAATTGGTGACATGTCTGGATGTGCTCAAGACTGAGCATCTCAACACAACTGAAGACAGCTCCAGAGCTCCCCAAGAAGTAGGCTGTGCCATCACTGGGCATGTCACAGACTCCTCCGTCTGCCAGGTGCCAGTCCCAGGCCCCTCTTGATAACGCCCCACATGTCCAACTCCATCTCAGAATCTTCTTTGCAGGAACCAGCCGCTAATGGAGATGCTTAAGAGTGTTAACGTCTAATTCCACAGTTGAGTCAAACACAGCAGTGTAAATGCTGAGACTATGGTCTGAAGTTTTACCCTGTGTTAACACCCTGAGAGGTGTGGCCTTGCAGGAGGAGGGTGGGGAACAGAGTTTCAGAGCTCTGTGATAGTGTGACTTTGCATCAGTTTATGGGTTCCACCAGACACTCCTAAACAGGTATTGAAGGCCTACTATGTGTCAGATATGGTGCATGCACTGAAAAAATAATAAAACCTTGCAATTGTGAGCAATCTGTTGCACAATGTATTACTTGATCCTGTTTCTATCCTCACACCTATCTTATGCTCAGAAGTTAAATTCTGGCTCCCGCCAGGTGGCTTTAGGCCAATTAATTGCCCTCTTGATCCTAGCTGCCTCCTCTTTAAGACAAGAGAACAGCTGTGGAGTAAAGGGTCAACTCAGCAAGCTTGGGTTGCCCACACCTTGCACATTCCAGAGAAAGGACTGGCCACTGGCCAGATGCTGGGAGGTCAGGTCACCTTTAAGCCTGCTAAGAAAGTCTTGGTATACCGCGGGCCTTGGGCCCTGCCAGAGAGCTCATGCTCATGGTGTGATTATGGTGGGGGCCTTGGTTCACCCTGTGTCTGGGGGAGGGTGTTGGCTGAGCAGCTAAGGCTGGGGGTGCTCCACACCTATGTGACTACCCCCCAATAAAACCCAAAGCTCGAGGGAGCTTTCCTGGCAAACAGTCAACCCTCTGTATCCATCGGTTTTGCATCCATGGAATCGACCAATCTCAGATTGAAAATAGTTGAGGAACAATTGTGTCTAGGCTGATGTACAAACTTTTGTCCCTTGTCATTACTCCCTGAACAATACAGTGTAATAACTGTGTACATGGCATTTCCATTGGATTGGGTATTATAAGTAATCCAGAGACGATTTAGAGGATACAGAGTGTGTGTGCAGGTCACACGCAAATCTTACACTATTTTATATCAGGGGCTTGAGCTTTGGTGGACTCTAGTATTTGCAGGAGGTCCTAGAACCAACGGCCCATGGATACTGAGGGACAATTATGCTTTGAATGTGATGTCACACATCACTGCTGCCCACACGAGTCCTCTGGGCAGAGACATCTACAAGCTTGCATCTGGTTTATCTCTTTTCCTTTGCTGATTTTAATCTGCGTCCTTTGCTATAATAAACATAACCATGATTTCAATGACTCTTTGGAGTTCTGCAAGGCTCCTAGCAAATCACTGAACCTGAGGGTGGTCTCGGGCCCCCAAGCACAGGCACCTTCCTCATAGTTCTGCTGTGAGCATCCGATGGGTAAAGCCCAGGAGATAGTGAGCCCTCCATAAATTGCCAGTAGCATAATTCCCCTGATAATTTGATTTAAAAAGGACATTTTGTAGATAAAGAGGCTGAGGGGCCAGCTTGCCTGAGAGAATCCTGACCTGGATTCTCCCTCCCCTGGAACCCTGGCCCAGGGACGCCACCTGCTCCTCCCTCCCATTCCCCGGGAACACACAACCTCACCTTGGCCTGATCCTGAGCATCCTTCCGCCTGGCCCAGATCACCGCCAGAACGTAGACCACGCAGAGGCAGCCCACGGTGGCCACCACCACAGGGTTGTCCTCGAAGGTGGCAAAGAGTTCGGCAGTCTGGCGAACATCAACGGCATTGGGCATCACCAGGAAGGTGCTTCCGAAGAAGGTGAGGTGGTTGCAGAGGCAGTGCGTCTGGGAGGGGCTGGTCCGAGGCCCCACCTGCAAGCCCCAGAAAGCCTGGGTGGAAAGGCTGGGAGCTCCTCCCTGGCTCCCTGCAGCCCCAGGGAGGGGAATGAGGTTGGCTTCAAGGGGTAGACAAAGAGCGCGGTATGGCTGGGAGCACTTCAGTGAAATTAGCTTCAGGATTACCCCTTGGGCTTTTAAAAAATTATTTATTTATTTATTTATAGACAGAGTCTCACTCACTATGTTACCCTCAGTAGAGTGCTGTGACATCACAGCCCACAGCAACCTCAAACTCTTGGGCTTAAGCAATTCTCTTGCCTCAGCCTCCCAAGTAGCTGGGACTACAGGCGCCCACCACAACATCCAGCTATTTTGTTGTTATTGCAATTGTCGTTGTTGTTTAGCTGGCCCAGGCTGGGTTCAACCCCACCAGCTCGGTGCATGTGGCTGACGCTGTAACCACTGTGCTACAGTGCCGAGCCAAGGCTTTTTTTTTTTAATTAAAAATTCATTTTCAAAGGCAGAGAATATTATTTATAACAAATATCCTTAAATCCATCATTCTCAAAGGGCAGCTGTATGCACTTTGCCTATCTATTTTGTTTTTTCAGGTAAGAATTGCAAGTAAAGTTGGGGTCCCCTTTGTCCCTTACTCCCTAAAATGACCAGGATTACAGATTTGGTGTGTTGCCCCCGCATGCCACCTGGTGCCCAGTGACAGGCTGGGAACTGGGGTTACATCATAGTGATCAACTCAGCTCAGTTTTTCCAGGATTTTCTTGCTCTTCAAATGGTAAGTCCTGAGTCCTGGGAATTCCCTCTGTCCTGGGCAAACTGGGATGGTGATCAGCTGATGAGTAAAAAGAGGGTCTGGGGGAACCACAGGAAGAAAAGGGAAGGACAAATGTTTGAACTCTGGGCTGACATCTCAGCACCAAAAGGTGTGCGTGGAGCTTGAGCACGTGATCACGGGTGGTGGCCGGCAGCTCCCTGGGCAGGGAGGACGCAGGAGAGGGCCAGGGCAGGGACCCCCATCTGGGCCCTTTTAAAAAAATTTTAGGGCAAGGGACGCAGTGGCTCACACCTGTTATCCTAACACTGGGAGGCTGAAGCAAGTGGATTGTCTGAGCTCACCAGTTTAAGACAAGCCTGAGCAAGAGCGAGACCCTGTCTCTACTAAAAGTAGAAAAATTAGCCAAGCATTGTGGTGGGTGTCTGTACTCCCAGCTACTCATCAGGCTGAGGCAAGAGAATCACTTGACCTCAAGAGTTTGAGGTTGCTGTGAGCTATGACGCCATAGCACTCTGCCTAAGGCAACAAAGTGAGACTCCATCTTAAGAAGAAAAAAATTTATTAATACTGAATGAAAATTTTAATGTACTCTGACTTCACACCCTGCAATGCCACCCCCAGGACCCCTCAGCCAGCTCACAGTTACCCAACTGGGCCTGTTGGTGGATAAAGATGTAATTCAGCCCCAGCAGACATCACTGCCTTAGCATTCCAGATTCCACCAGGAGGCAGTGAGGAGGGAGGGTGCAGAACTGGCATCTGGGAGCTCAGCTTCTGGGGAGGAGGAATCTGCCGGTGTCCAGACGTTCCCCAACTGGCAACTTTTGTCTCTTCCCCTTAATGACCCACCCAGCAGAGGCTCACCGCGCCCCCCAACCACCATGGGCCTGGTGCCAACAGTTTATTACGAATTTCAGGTGGGACTTAGTTCCGTGTCTGGTGTGCTGTTTTTGTCACTGTTTCCCAATCCTGGCCAGCATTTGGCACACAGCTGTGGAGCTTATGGGAATACTTGGCACGCCCAGAGGGAGTGGGGCGGGTTTCAGAGAAGACACCCCAGCAGGTGCCAGGAGGGGTGACCTCAGTGCTGGAACCCAGCAATTGGTCTTGATCTATGCCCAGCATCTTCGTGGAAGACAGAGACCTTGAGGTCAGCGGCTTCCCGCACCTTTCCCAGCAGGAGGGGCCCTTTGAACACTGGAAATTAATCTGTGGATTCCTGGGTGCGGGTAGCTGCCCTTTTGGTACCTTTGAGAAAATTCCTACACAAGAGCTCAGGTTCTCAGATCCTTGCCCCTGATAAGGGCTTCAGTCCAAAGATTTGGAGCTTTCTTTGGCTGGTTGAAGGATTCTGTGGCAGTTTCCCATGCAAACCGGGTGACCCATTTACCTACTTATGGCCCCTCAAAGAACTCTATATGATGTCTACATTTCTATATCTAAATCTAAATCTGTATATGTGCATCTGTATCTATTATGAGCAAATATACAATAGTGGATTAGTCATGATTTTTGTTCCATGACACATTTGCACAACCACCCTCTCTGCACATCCCTTGTTTATATACGAATGCATTAGTACGTGCATATTTTTAAGAATAAAACATGCACCTGAGAACTCATTGCTGTACCCCAAAGCTACACCGTCCTCCTACTGCCCCCAACCCAGCACCATCCTGAGCCCAAGTGCATTTTTGCTGAGATTTCCATTTCACTGGTGGTGTCCTCTTCCCCATACTCAGAGTGTTTAACAGAGAAAATGTTATCATCTATGAGGCTCTCCCTTTGTGCCAAGCACCACACTAAATCCTTCATAATTCTAATCTCATAAGCCCCACCCAATTGTACGTGGGAGCTGTCTGTTATCCCCCATCTGGGGTGGAGCTCAGAGAGGTAGAGTGACTAGTCCAAGATCACCCAGCAGTATTTTTTTTTTCCTTTTGAGATAGAGTTCATTCTGCCACCCTGAGTAGAGTGGCATGGCATTGTAGCTCACAGCAACCTCAAACTCTTGGGCTCAAGCGATCCTCTTGCCTCACATTCCTGAGAAGCTGGGACTGCAGGTGTCTGACACAATGCTGGGCTAGTTTTTCTAATTTTAGTAAAGACAGGGGTCTTGCTCTTGCTCAGGCTAGTCTTGAACTCCTGAGCTCAAGTGATGAGCCATCGTGCCCAGCCCGATTTTTCTTACCATTACATCCCCTCTACCAGGTGAATGGTAGGTGTTTGCTGACCACATGAAGGAGATACATCTGGGCTGGTAGATGGACACGCATATGGTCAATTTCTGTCTGACATCATTGTGCTATTCTTGGGCAGAATGTGAAGGGCTGAGGAAATGCAAGTGAGGGAGGTGTCTGGGAGGCCCTCAGGAAGATGACATGGGGGCAGGAGACCAAAGGGCAGATAGGAGATGTCCAGCCCAGAGCAGGTAAGAAGGGCATTTGGTGGGAGGGGAGGCAGTTGTCCCACAGCCACAGCTCTGACGGTTTTGAAGCCGTGTCTGCCTGCAGGACACTGTCAGGGGCCTGGTCTCTGCTGAGCTGAGATAGAGATTTAATTTAAATTAATAATGCTGGGTGTCTCTGGGGGCTCAGCAGGCCTGGCTGAGCCCTGGAGAGACAGAGCCACGTATTGCTAAGGTCGTGCTCTGGAGACAGATCTGGACTTGGGTCCCAGCTCCTCCACTTTCCAGGTGTGGGATTTGTGGTGAGTTAGTTGCGCTTCCTGAGGCTTTGTTTTACCACCTGGAGGATGGGAACAACAGCTCTCTCGATCTGATGAGCTAATGCAGGCAGAAAGTGGGACACAGCACCTGGCGTGGAGCCGCAGACACGGCTCAAGTGCATTTCTTGGGGAGTCTCACCCTGGCCTACCTCAGTGACCCAGCCTCAGCAGGGCTTCCTGAGTCACTGTCCACTGGTTCAATGATCCTTTGTTCCTAGGGGTGAATAAGGCACCTTGTTCCTGTCTCACGGGGTCCCCAGAGCCCCGAGGGAGACAGACATCATTTAAATGTTCTGTCTGGCACTGTGGGTGAGGGGAAATCTGACCTAGTCGGGGACTGAAGAACAGTTTTCTTGAGGAGGCAATGTGTAGGCTGGAGCAGGAGTAGGAGTTATTCTAGGCACAGGGAGCAGCATATGCAAAGTCCCCATAGAGGGACACAAGACACCTTACCAGAGGCACTAAAAGGGGACCCACGTGCGCTGAGACATAGGCTACCCGGCTGTCACCTTCTTCACCTCTCCCTCCTTACCTGGCAGCCGGAGTTGTCCCACATCTCCTGAACCTCATCCCAGAACACACAATGGGACAGGAAGGTGGTGATGCCAACTGTGAGGTCCCTGCCAGAGGCTGGCTCCATGTCAGCCTCAGGGACCACAGTCAAGTAGTAGACACCTTCTCCAAAGTGCAGGTCCCGTGGGCTCAGGATCCACGTGGACATCTCGTCTGCAGGAAAGAGGGCGCTGGGTCAGCCTGAAGCCACATTGAGACGAAGGCTGACATCATAGGAGAAAGGAATGAAGGTGACTTGGCAGGGAAGGAGACACTAGTGGCCACCCCCACCCAATGTCCTAGGGAAACTGTCTCCCCCTGAGACCAGGAGCACAGAAGGGACACTCCCCCCCAATGTGTGGAGCCATGTCACACAGATAAGGGCTCAAATGCTGATTCTGCTCCTCATTGGCTGTGTGACCTCAGACCAGTTACTTAACCTCTCTGTTCTGATCTGGAAAGTGGAGGGTTATCATGACTGCAATGAGGTCAGTTCTGTAAGTGCTTGTCTGCTTCTTCGGGGCAGAGTAAGTACTTACCTAACATTGGCAAATAATAATAATACCACCAAAGAAAATAAACCACTGAATGTGCCAGGTAGGTTCTCCACCACCCCACCGTGGCTTCTGACCCTCATGTGCTCAGGGAGGCCTACCCGGAGCTGCTGCTGGCAGCAGGTGTGTTTGGGCATCATAGCTGGTCTCGTTGGGGTGGTAGCCGAAGCCCAGGCTGAGTGTGAGTCGGATGCTGGGTCTCCAGTGCAGCTGAATCCCCAAAGCCGCCTCCCTTGAAGTCACATTCACCTGCAAAGCCTCAGGACTAGTCAGGTTCAACACGGTCGGATCACTGTGTCTTTCTGGAGGCCGGGGCAGCAGGATCTGCCATCAGAAACAATCGCATCGAGGTTTGGCGTTAGTTCCCTGTGGCTTCTATCACAAACGACCACAAGCTGGGCAGCTTAGAACAGATGCATTTGTCATCTTAGGGTTCTGAAGTCCAGGGCTGAAGTTGGCAGGGCTCATCTGGGGGAGAACTTGCTTCCTTGCCTTTTCTAGCTTCTGGAAGCCGCCTGTATCCCTCAGCTCACGGCCCCTTCCTCCCCAACTCCAGCCTCTTGCTCTGCCACCAGGTTACCCTTTCCTCTTCTGTAGCAAACTCCCTGTCTGCCTGCTTTGTATAAGGACCCTGTGATTCCACCAGGCCTGCCAGACAAGCTGGCAGATAATCTCTCCATCTCAAGATCCTGAACTCAAACACATCTGCAAAGTCCATTTTACACTTCAGGAAACGTAGTCACAGGCTCCAGGGATGAGAACATGGACATCACTAAAAACTGGGATCATTGATAAGAAACTACAGAGGACTAGAAAAAAAATCATTAAAATCTTTTTTTTTTTTTTTTGTGACAGTCTCACTATATCGCCCTTGGTAGAGTGCCATGGTGTTACAGCTCACAGTAACCTCCAAGCAATTCTCTTCCCTCAGCCTCCCCAGTAGCTAGGACTACAAGTGCCTGCCACAATGCCCAGCTATTCTTTAGTTGCAGTTGTCATTCTTGTTTAGCAGGCCCGGGCCGGGCTCAAACCCACCCGCCTCGGTGTATGTGGCTGGCATCCTACTCACTGAGCTACGGGCACCGAGCCTAAAAAAGTCATTAAAATCTTAAAGGAACTGAACTCACATTGCGCTTACATTTCTGTTCAACTTTCAGGAAAATCTAACTAGTTGTTGTAGAGGCTGTGTTACAAAGGTGGTTTATGCAGTGAAGCTGATTAAACTTTCAATCAATAGATGTGTATAACCGGGAAAGCTGGAGAGTAATGATAAACATACATTTATAGTTTTAAGATACATATAATGTTCAAGGTAGGGGGAGGATCATTTTGAATGATTCTCTTATTTAACCACTTCCCTTCTTTTTTTGAGACAGAGTCTCACTTCGTTGCCCTCAGTAGAGTACTGTGGTGTCATAGTGCACAGCAACCTCAAACTCTGGGGCTCAAGCGATCCTCTTGCCTCAACCTCCCAAGTAGCTGGGACTACAGGCACCCACTATAACGTCTGGCTATTTTTAGAGACAGGTTTCACCCCTGCTCAGGCTGATCTTGAACTCCTGAGCTCAAGAAATCCACTTATATTGGCTTCCCAGAGTGCTGGGATTATAGGCGTGAGCCACCACGCCCGGCCACTTTATCCTTCTTATAACTAACCAACTTTTGGTCCCCAACTAAGTCGAAAGAGAAGACAGAAATGCCACCTGAATTCTGATGACACCCCCAACTTCTACCTCGATATTCTCTGACAGATTCATCACAGGTATAAGCCGTCCACTAGGGCTGGTCAGACAGAGGCCACCAACAGTTCCACTGACGTCAAAGTGACTTTGGGCCTGGAAGGGGCTCTTTGGGAAACTCATCATCTGAAACCAAGAACAAGGATTGTTGTGTAAGAGCCCCAAGGGGCTGGAACATGAACAGGCCCCTATGTGAATAAGATCCTAAGAGGGGACAGATGGGTTGCCCTGTGGGGTGGGGGTGTGGAGGAGGAGGCTGCCTCTAGCTGCTGCTGGTCTCCCTGGAGAGTTTCTCCCACGTGGCTGTGGCCCCAGAGAGCTGGCCGTAGCAAACCCAAATAGACTTGCTTTGGCTGAGCAGTTACTGGAATGTAAAGCCATCCCAGTCTTCCTTTCCAAAGAGCCAATAAATGCCTAAGAGAAAGATGTTGTTCTGCTTTTGTTAAGGCTCAAGGAGCAGACGGTCAGATGTGCCAATTTGGGGATGGAAAAGAGCCCTGGGTTGGCCATTTCCCGGCTGTGGCACTAAGCTGGATGAGCTCCATGTCTAATGAACTGAGGCTGCTGGAGAAATTTAGCAACACAGTGGAAGAAGGATGAATCTGGGGCCAGGATCTCTGGGTCAGAAGCCCAGCTGGGCCACTTGTGGCTTTGGGGAAATCATCGAACGTTATTGGCAAAATGGACACAATAATACTTTGCATCAACAGGGCTGCTAGTGGTATGAATGAGCAGATGTGGGGAAAGCGCTTTGCAGGCTGTAAAGGGCTGTCCTCCCATCATCACTGTTGTTACCCTTATGTCCACAAGCTCCTGGCTGTGCTCCAGAGAGCCTAGGGATAAGCCGGTGGGCAGGATGAAGGTCGCAGAGTTAGTGTCCCCGACATGCACAGAGGAGCCTCGCCAGCTCTGGGGCTGTATTCTGGCCATGGGAGAGAATAGAGGTGCCGGAGAGAGAGGAGAAAGTCAGTGTCTGAGAAGGATCCCCACGCCTCCTGTGCTATAGGAAGCCTGGCTTTCCCCAGAGTGGGCGGCCCTATCTTCATTCCTTTAGAGGAGTAATTTTCAACTGGTACACTGCGGCACACTGGTGTGCCATGAGAGGAGTTTAAGTTTGCCGCGAAAAATTTTAAAGATCAGTAATTAAATTACGTTTGAAACAAGTTCCAAGCACAGTAAGTATATTCTTTTTTTGATCAACATAGTTTAAGTGTGCCATGGAAGTTTAACTCTACAGTCAAGGGTGCCAGAAGATGAAAAAGTTGAAAAACACTGCTTGAAATAGTTCTGCATGTTGGAATCAGCATAAAAGGTGGCTGATATGTCCTGTGCTGGCCTGGATTCTCCATGAGGATGGGGCTTTGCTAGCTGTGTCTACTGCTGTACCCCTGATGCCCAGCACTGTGCTGGCATATGACAGGGCACAAAATAACTTTACTGCATGAAAAATGAGCCTGGACTCAGACCTTCCTGCAGGGTTGTCTCCCTACCCACCCCGACTGGCCTCTGATGCCATGGGCTCCCAGCTGCATCTTTTCTGTTCTTTGACCTTGTTCTGTCCAGTCAGTTTGGGGACCTGGTTTCAGACTCTACCTCTGAGAAGGATGCTGCTTTGCAAAACTGTCCCTGGTACCCAAGAGGGCACTGGGCTTTGTGAGGAGTCCCAGTGGTGCCTGTGGCGTCACCCAGCCCTTACTCCCAGGTGGAAGAGTGGATGGTTAGGGGATCCCAGGGATGGGCCAGCACTCAGAGATGAGAAAAGCCCCCATAGAGAGACTCCCAAGGCCAGTGTTAGCTCAAGTCTCCACGGGCTGGTCAGACATCCTCGGAACATGGTTAAGGGTGGGCTGGTCCTACTTCAGTCAGCCCCATGGCCTGCACAGCTGGGGAGTGACCACCCCGTCAGGACTCCACACCTCCCTTCCTGTGCTGCACAAATGCCCAACATGGCAGCGGGGACCTTTCCCAGGTGGAAAGTCCTGCCCAGTGCCAGGAACCAGCACTTCTCAGCCCAGGTCTTGGGGTGTGGGTGTGGAAGGAGTGATGTTGGGGGATGACCTTCCTCGGGGCCCCACGGGGGCAGCCGTCACCTGTTTGTGTACACGGCAATGGAGGGGGTGGCAAGCGTGGCTGGCAGGCCTCCAGGCAGCTTCCCCAGCAAGAGGGTGGTCTGCACACACTCCACAGCCCTGAGCAGCCGGGGCACGGTGGCAGTCTGGGAAAGGAGGCAGGAGAGTGCCACTGTGGACCCATCTGCTACATCACCTTTGCTTACTGCCACCAGCTAACTGAGACTTTCAGCAGGGACGGGCAGAGGCCGGGGTGGGGGAGAGGTGGTGGGTGGAGGGAGAAAGACAGCCCCTCCAGCTGGGAGAGTGTGTGATTGTGGCTTGAGGCTCTGTGTGAGTGTGAGTGTCTGAGTGCCTCTCAGTGTGAATTTGCACATGGGGGTGTGTGTGTCTAAGTGTCTGAGGGTGTCTGAGCGTGCCTGAGCATGTGAGTGTGTGCGTGCAAACACCCTCGTGTGCCAACTGTCTTTCAGCTCTTCCTGGCTAGTGCAAGGGCCCCACACAATTAAGAAGGTGGCGTGGCAGGAGTAGGTTCTGTGGCTCCATCCAGGAGGCTGTGTTCCCACCAGGGCGCTGGGGCTGCCCTGTTCCCACTCTGGGCAGCAGCCTCTCTTCTAAGATCTTGGAGAAATGAACCAAGAGTTTACTCAGACTTGGGTGGGGGTCCTGCCAGCTTATCTGGATGAGGCTGAGTGCCTTGAGTTATAGAAGAGGAAAGGAGGCTTAGGGAAGCTCTGTAACTCGCCCAAATCACAGCCTCCTGAGTGACAGGAGTAGGATTTGAACTCAGGCTACCTTGTTCCAGAGCCTCGTTCCGCCCACCACACACTGCCTCCTGCAAGCTGAGCCTCTGAAATTTTTCTCCCAGCTCCCTGGGTGAAATTTTTTTTTTTTTGAGACAGAGCCTCAAGCTATCCCCCTGGGTAGAGTGCCATGGCATCACAGCTCACAGCAACCTCCAACTCCTGGGCTCAAGCGAGTCTCCTGCCTCAGCCTCCCAAGTAGCTGGGCCCACAGGTGCCTGCCACAACACCTGGCTATTTTTTTTTTTTTTTGGTTGCAGCCCTCATTGTTGTTTTGGCGGGCCCGAGCTGGATTCGAACCCACCACCTTAGGTGTATGTGGCTGGTGCCTTAGCCACTTGAGCCACAGGCGCCAAGCCCTTGGGTGAAATTTTAACCTGTGGCCTCAGTTTCTCTTCATCTGTGAGACAGTGAGGAAGCTCCACCCAGAAGGGCTAGTGTGAGCAGTGGGTGTGAGGTCTGCGTGTAGCCGGGACACCCACCTGGACGCCTTTGGCCTCTGCAAGCTCCTCTGGACTGTTGCTCAGGGAAGCTTCCAGCACACTGCCCACAGCCTGAAACAGGTCCCTGGTGGCTGCTTGGCGCCTCTGGTCCTCAGGATGGACCTTGGCACTCACTGTCAACAGGGCCTCACCGACATGCTGCACAGCCCAGCTGGCCTCCCACTGGATCCACCCAAAAAAGGAAAAGCAGTGTGAGCCCCTGCTTGGGATAGCCCTTCTCTGGTGCCATTCAAGGGACAAGGGCTGCAGTGGAGGGGAGCCTGGAGGGGCACAAGCCAGGGGAGAGCTGGGCTGGAGCTGGCACACAGCTGCCTGTGTCCTTGACCCTAGGCCAGGTCCTCCCTCCTTGTAGTGCTCTGAGTTTCTTCAGTAGAGTATCTTCATCAGACTCTGAGTCCTCCCCAGAGCACCCTATACACAGCACACAGTGGGCCTGAGTGAGGGAACATTGGATGATGGGTGAATGGACTGAGGATGGATGGATGGATGGATAGATGGATGGATGGAAAGGAGGCTGGATAGATGGACGAAAGATTGATGGTGGGTAAGGATGAAGGAGGATGACAGGAGGGATGATAGGAGGGTGGATAGATGGATGAAAGATCGATAGGTAGGTAGGGATGAAGGAAGAATAGGAAGGAGACTGGTGAAGTGAAGGATGGATGAAGCGTGGATAGGAGGGTGGACGGATGGTCAGCACTTTTTCCAATTGTGTAACTACATATGTATTTGTGAAATTATTTATCTAATGTCTGCTGTCTCAGCTGCCTGAAAGTGCTGCAAGGGCACAGGTTGTATCTGTGTAATTTGCTGAATTGTCAACAAGGGGCACAGTCAGAACCTGGCACATACTGGAATTCAGGAACCCCTCGTTGGATGAATGAATAAATGAATGTGTGAATAAGTGAATAGGAGGACGGGGGTGGGTGCAGATGAGTGTGTGTACACACAGGGTGTACTCACATAACAGACAGATGAGCAAATGGGAGAATGAGTGTGACATCAGTAGCACCATGGCCCCGAGACAGAAACCAGCTTTGGGTGGAGGAGCTGAGGGGATGACCTCCTGCCACAGCAGGTGGAGGACAGCTCTCCCCTCTCACTGATTTTATAGTTCCTTTTTAACCCTTGGCTGACGTAACCCTGCAAATGGGGTTTTAATTTAACCTGTCCAATAAGATGATCCCAAGGCAAGGATTTGAGAGCAAGTCATTTGTTTAGGGGTGATCAGGGAAACATTGGTGGGGAAAAGAAGAGAAGAGTAGAAGCCAGTACAGGGGTGTGCCCACACCCGTGTCCTGGGGCTCAGTCCTGCTCAGAATTACCCATCAGGAGGGTGCAGGAGCACTGCATGAATTCCCTGCTCTGTGGGTAGGGAGGGTGGGCCCTGGGGGTCAGAGAAGTCCCCCAGGCAAGGAAAGGCAGAGGGGCTGTGTGTGCTAAGTTGGGGGACATGGGTGCCCAGCAGGAATGTCGGGACATGCACTTGGCACCCAAAGATTAATGAGATTCAGTTACCCCCTCAAGTTGCTGGGCAGCCGGTGAGAAGAGCAAGTGTGGACATTCAGGCCGTCACTCCCAGCGGAAGGCACCTTGCTGTTCACTACCCATGCAGGACCATGGACAGACAGTGGCGGAGTACTTGGTGGCCTCAGGAGAGCCCCATAACTGAGGGACCCCTTTGATCTACACCCAGCTGGGCTGTCCTCCATAACCATGGAAGAGTGTATCTTGTTCCTGGTGGGCTCATGGGGGTAGGGGAACCACTTACCTGGGCCAAGGGGGTGAGCTCCTCACTGTGGCAGGTCACCTCTCTCAGTGCCTCTGCCAGTCCCTGTACCTGCTGTACATCCTCCAGGCTGGCAGTGACCACAGACAGCGACCCCAGCACGCGCTCTCTGACCTTGGCACAGGGCGAGACAGGCAGGGAGAGGAAATGTAATCTCAGTGGCTCCATAAAGTTGTTTTGGAAAGATGTGGAGTCAGAGGAGTGACTGGGGTCATCTGGGGTTTTCGGAAGCCCTGAAGCCTTGGTTTGCCTCAGGGGAGGTGTGGTAGCAGGATAATAGCCTTCCAAAGAGGCCCACATTCTAATCCCCACAACCTGGGAATGTGTAACCTCGAGTGGCAAAAGATACCTCATCGGCTCGGCGCCTGTGGCTCAAGCGGCTAAGGCGCCAGCCACATACACCTAAGGTGGCGGGTTCGAATCCCCAGCCCGGGCCCGCCAAACAACAATGATGGCTGCAACCAAAAAATGGCCAGGCGTTGTGGCGGGTGCCTGTAGTCCCAGCTACTTGGGAGGCTGAGGCAGGAGACTCGCTTGAGCCCAGGAGTTGGAGATTGCTGTGAGTGTGATGCCATGGCACTCTACCCAGGGGGACAGCTTGAGGCTCCGTCTCAAAAAAAAAAAAAAAAAAGATACCTCATCAAAATCACTTAGGAGATGGGATTAAGTTAGGGATCCTGAGACAGGGAGAGCGTCTTGGATTAAAAGGTGGAACCAAAATAATCACCAGGGCTTTGAAGAAGGAGGCAGGAGGATCAGGGTCAGAAAAACAGATATGAGGATGGAGGGAGAGGCAGGAGGAGAGAAAAAGAGAGAAGATGAGGAGGGAGAGGAGAGAGCAGGGGAGAGCAGGGGAGAGAAGGGGAAGAGAGGGTTTGAAGATGCTATGAGCCCTCGCTTACAGTTTTTAGAAGCTGTAAAAAGCAAGGAACAGTTCAGAGGTTCGCAGCCCTGCCCACACCTTGACTCTGGCCTGTGAGACCCATTTCAACCTTCTGACCTCCAGAACTGAAGGAGAATAAATCTGTGTTGTTTTAAGCCACTAAACTTATAATCACCTGTTACAGCAGCTGTGGGAAACCCATACATGATGTCTCGGGCTTTCTCCAAATCTTCAGACCACAGCTGTACAAGTCAGCACTATTTAAAAATAAGTTGGGTTTCAAGTTGGCACTTGTGATCCAAATGGCCCAGTGTGGGTAGGAGGCCTCTCTGGAGTCTTGGGAACCCTGTGTGCCTTCACAGGGGAGGGGGACAAGGAGACTTGGACTGGCCACAAAGCAATAGTGAGGCGGCCAGGGGCTGGCATTGGCCGTGTCAGAAAAACCCTAACAATGTCATTTCATCACTGCCCAGTAGATCTTTAATTGTACCTTTATGTAATTTTAAGCAACTTTAACCTAGATTTCAGTAGCTAGATGTGGCTCGTGGCAACCACTGTCACGACCCCACTGTGCTGCACCTCACTCTGACCACCAGGCTTTCATGGCAGCTGCAGGGTCTGAGCGAGTTGCCAGCAGCTCTGGGTGTGAGCAGGTTGCCATGCAGGTTGTGGCAAGAATGGCCTGTGTGTTAGGAGACTCTTCCCAGAATTTTCCAGAAGGGAAACTCAGATCATGTGTAATCAATCTCCTGGTTGCTTCTGCAGATTCTCCTCCGTCTTTTGTATCCTGCCCTGTGCTCCCTGGGGCTATGGCACCCTCTCCTGACCCAGCTGAAGGGCCAGCAGGAGATGAGAGGGCAGGACGGGGTGCCTGTCTAGATTACTCTAACTTTGGCCATGTCAGAAAAACCCTAAGAATGTCAGATGCCCCCCCACCCAGGACGCAGGACTGGCTGCCTCATTCTCTGAAAGCCACAGCCCCTGCTAGGGAGCCCCTGTCCCCAGGCAGCTGCTGCCTATGGATTCTGGTCATCAGGGAGCCCCTGGGGTCCTGTGTGCTCTCTTTTCCCTAAACCATGCCCACGCTTGTCTCAACAGAGCTCTTGTTACAATCTCCTCGGTCGCACAGTTAGACATCTGTCTCCTGCCAGGCCCCTGACAGCTCACAGGGAGACCTTGTGTTTGGTTGTGTGGTCTCCGAGCTTGGGGACCCCAGGATGTCCACGGGGAAGTTTGCCAGGGGTGCCACTCAGAAAGAATACAGCCAAGAACAAGAGCCAAGCGCGTGTGCACGTGTGTGCATGTGAGCCCCTGCGTGTGTGTGTGTGTGTGTGTGCGCGCGCGCGCGCATGTGTGAGGGGGTGCTAATTTGAGGCAGAGGGCTGGAGTGTGAAAGGGGAAGAGCCAACTTGGGTTTAAATCTCCATCTTCACCTACCCAGGTGAGCCACTCCGGTTCACTCAGCCTCTGTTTCCTCATCTCTAACAAAGAAGGGACCTCACCGTTGACTTCGTAGAGTTGTTGTGGGGATTACACATCCTTGAAGCCCTAATTCAGAGTCTGGCAGTTCATAGCAGGTGCTTGATGCGTGCTAACTGCTTTCTGTAAGCAAATAACTCTGACAACCGCTGCTTCTTATATTAAGTACTTACCTTCATCCCACGCCATGTGAGGGGACTTCCCTGCAAACCCTCCAGGGCCCAGAAGTCTTTCTTTTGTCCTCTGGGCCTGGCAGGGGTATGTGTGTGTGCACACTGAGCATGGATGCAATCCCACATTCTGCAATAATTGTTCAGACTTGTGGATTGTAACATACGAAATAGCCATGTTGTGACTTAAAACTGGTTAAATGTGGGCAATTTTTTATAGTTTGACCCTTAGCGGCTGGGATTATAATGCATATTTAACTCTCCCCACCATTTTGTGAGGAAAACAGTACTCTTTTCCCTCTTTTCCAGAGGGGGAATCTGAGGCTGAGAGAGGTTCAGTCCCTGGCCGGTGACAATGCAGGTGGCAGTAAGTGACAACACTGGGACAACATCTAAACGCCACCTGTAAAGCATTACCCATGTGACTGAGGCCAAGTCACTTTTCCCCTCTGGGCCTTGGTTCTGTCGTCCTTGTATAAAGGGTATTTAGCACTAAATATGGGACAACGTTCTCCACCTTCCCTCTGGTCCCAGAAGCCTATGACTCCCTGAAGGCGAGTCGGGAAATCAGGCTGTCTATGAAGAAGTCATTTACATCCTTCTACGTCACACACAAGGACCAGAGAGCGAGGTGATGTCAACCACTTGGGGGATGCCACAGGCCTCTGATCCCTGAACCCGAACCCCAAACCCAAGTGGCTGCACACAGACCCAGGGCCCCAGTGGAAGGATGTGAAAGGAACCCCTGCGAGCACCTTCTGTCTGGTGTCCATTCTCAGCTGCTGGCCAGAGCCCTGGCTTTGGTGCTCCTGGTTCAGCACAGAGGACACAGACTTGGCCAGCTGGAGGAGCCTCTCAGGGCCATGCTCGCCTTGCAGAGTGATGCTGATTTTCTCTGACACAGCAGCCTGGAATGCCCCGTCCTCAAGATGCGTGTCTCCAAGTCTCACCTGTTGGGAAACCAGGAATGTGCTCAGCGGTCCTTGTTCAAGAACCTGAGGTCTGAGGTCACAGGTTTTCACGTAGGGAAGCCGAGGGGGCCTGGACTCCTCCAGCCTGGTGTGGAGGCTCTTAGGGACTTCGTGAGGCTGGAGGGCAGCTGGACCCACTTGTACAGGCACCACAGCCAAGCCTTGGTCAACTCAAGCCTCAGGCAAGTCATTACTGCCCCGATTGCTGCCTGCTCATCTTGTTCTCAATCCCTTTCACCTCCACCTGGCTTCTGACCCTTTTAATCTTCTTGGGACTTTATCTAAGCTTCATTTTTGCGTCCTTGCTGGCTGCTCTTGGCACCTCCTTCCTCTGAGCTCTCTGAACGCACTGGCCTAACTTGTGCCAGCATCCTTCTGGCTATCCCTGCCCCGGCTCTCAAGATCCTACCCCTGTCCTGGCCACTAAGTCATACAATCTGCACAGGTAAAGACTAGGTAGTCCTGTTGTATCCCCAGGACTTGGCACAAAGTAGAAGCTCTGTGCAAGTTTGTTGAAGGAATGAATGAATCAGTGGCTCATCCATCTATGCCTTTGGCTGCCCTCCATCTGGCCGCCCTTCCGGTGAGGTTCAGACTGGTCAGGAAGTGTTCTCAGTAAACAAGCAGTGGCCACACCACCACCTACCTTAACTGTTGCATGGGTCTGCTGTCTGTCCCCGGCGTGATTGGTGACAGAAATGACCACCGTCAGCACAAAGTCACTGTTTTCTTTTCCAAGTGGCAGATAAACGGCTGGGAGGACAGGTTCTGGGCCACAGCGTAGGCAGGAACCTATCAAAATAAAATTGACCAGTTGCAAGGGGCATATCCAAGCCCCAGGAACACAGAAACTCAGGCAGAGCCTGGTCCCCAGGACACAAAAGCCACAGCTCTTGACAGCCAGGAAGGTACTTGGAGTTCCACGCTTTCAGGGAGTGAGGCCGCCATGTACACTGGTTCACTGTCCTCTCTAAGTAAGTGCAGGTCACTGTAACTTTGCAATAATTTTACTAACATCTGTGAGAAACTGCAGGGGGAAAAAAAAACCATTGACTATTTTAAAAATTGAAGGCAGTAAACCAAATGATAAGAAGAAAGGGGAAGAGGAGAGGATGAGGGAGCTTGTTACACAGGCACGCTCCCTCCAAGGTCATTTCCTTCACAAAGCCCTTCCCTGAGTGCTGTCTCTGAAACAGTCACTCCTACACCACATATGTCTTGGTTTACCTGTTGTTCGGCCACGCCACCAGGTCGTGAAGACCACAAGGTCAGGGACTGTCACAATTTTGCTCCCTGCTGTTTATCTCAGGGACTAAGAACAGAGCCTGGCGTTCAATACCTGTTTGTTGTAAAAATGAATGAATGAATGTCCTTCATATGCTTAGATAGTAATGACTCATCCGTGGGCTCACTAGTCCTTGTACAGCAGGCAGTCATGACACCATTGACTCGCCACTGAAACTCACGTCTCCTTGGCCACACTCTCCTGCCTTCTTGCTAACCCGCACGAGGCAGGTGGAGGCACTGAAGTGGCACAACCAGTTGCCATTAGAACAGTGGTTCTGGCCTCTTCCCTTGGTGAGATTCAGGGCCAAAAACAAACCTACTGACCTTGCTTGTAGTTTTTCCTTCCAGGCTCAGCCCCAGTCCTCTTAATGGCCCTGCGTTTCCACTTTTCATGGCACCCCATGAAAAGTACACATCCTCACATCTCTGAGTAGCTTAGGTCCATCTCTCCCTAAACACGGCATAGAGCTTACCTCATTGGGACATTTGATGCTGGATATTGGGAGCATCCTAGCGACACTCCCGGTGCCCATGTTTGGAGAAAAGTTATAATGTGATTGGGACATTTTGGAGCCCATGTGAGGGCCACATAATGCCAGAACCCACTGGGAGGAGATGAGGAATCAGATGAAACCTCCAGGCACCAATCGCCACCAGACTGGATAAACAAACACAACTGGAGCTGCTCTCCCTGCCTGTCTGGCCAACGTCCTGCTGCTGCCTGGGGGGGTGGGGTGTTAGCATGATGGGAAGGGAGGCTGTGCAGGGTCTTAGCAATGCGGGGAGGGAGGCCATGTTCAGCGCCTGCATAAACCTTTGCAAAAATGTTCTCCTTCCAGCTCTGCCATGTTGCTCATTCCTTGAAGCAGGATCCCACCCCATCTCTGTCCTCCTGAATAGTTCCGGACTGCCAAGGGGTCATAGCTACTCCGAGTGTGGTGCTGAGGATGGTGTGCTGGTGGGGGCCCCAAATGGTCTTACTGGTGCGTATCCTCACTCACCTCTCCCTTTCAGTGTCCCCCATGCTAGGACAGAGATCATTTTGGCTTCCAGTTGTGGAAGAGCGACTGATGAGACCTGCTTCTCACGTCTCTGTGGGGTGCTGGGTGGGTCAGTGCCTTGAGGGTTGGGGCCAAGGATTGGGGGTATCACCCTTCTGCCAATCTCTTGTGGGCATAGGAGCGAGGGGGGTCCCTGATCTGGGAGAGGGTGAGCCCAGGTGCTAAGGGGACAGCAGAGCCCTTGGGCAGTACCTGATTCCAGGCAGAAGCAGTACTGCAGGGGGCCTGGGGCTGCGGAGGCATTGCAGACGATGGAGAAGCTGGTCAGAACCGTGCCCTCCTCTGGGGCAATGGCACAGGCAGGCATCTCGGGGGGAGGCAGGGTGCTGACCACATAGGTATCCTCCCCGTAGGCATCTCTGGTCAGTGCTGGAGGTAAAGACAGATGGTGCTTAGGGGTATATGTGGGCTCTGCAAACACAATCAGGCTTCAGGATCCCCCAAGCAGATAGTTAAACCTGCAGATTCCTGGGCCCCTCTCCAGAACTGGAGCCTGAGACCTCTCTGGAGATGCCCAGAAATTTATACGTCTAACGACTCTCTCTGATGTAAGGGACCCGAGGGTCCCACTTTGAGACATTTGGCAGAAATACGGGAAGACAGAGAGAACTGAGCTTGAATTTCAGTCCTGTGATTTATTAACCAAGCGACCTTAGATTTTGATTTTTCGTTTTTAAAAAATATTTTATTTTTAATGGGTGCATGACAGTTGCATTATCTTTATGGGGTATTTTTTTCTTTCTTTTTGAGTCTGGGGTCTTGTTCTGTCACTCAGGCTGAAGTGCAGTGGCACCATCATAGCTCACAGGAACCTCAAACTTCTGAGCTCCAGTGATCCTCCTGCCTCAGCCTCCCGAATAGCTGGGACTACAGGCTTGTGCCACCGGACCTGGCTACTTTTTGTAAGTTTTTTTTTTTTTTTTTTTTTTTTAGAGATGAGGTCTTGCTGTGTTGCCCAGGCTGGCCTCAAACTCCTGTCCTCAAATGATCCTCCTGCCTCAGCCTCCCAAAATGCTGAGATTATAAGTGTGAGCCACCAGGCCTGGCTAGGCTTGGTGTTTTTGAGAGTCAGTTCCTCATCTGTCAAATGGGGCTAAAAACAATAGCTTCTTTTTGGAGATTTTGTAAAAAAAGGAAGCAAGTTAGGAAACAATAGCGTGTTCAAGATCACTGAGCCAGAAGGACCAAAGCCAGGATCTAGAAACAAGCTGATCCCACCCTGAGCCCATGCTCTTCCCAGGCCCCGGCAGCTGAGCTATAACAATACCCCACATCTCCTGGAATAGTCACCTAGGCTTTCAAAAAGAATATGCCTAGAAGAGCTGGGCATGAAGAAAACTTTAATCCATTAAAATGAATTCCTCAGCTTAGACTCGATTCAGAAGGTTTGAGGTCAACCTGATCCCAAACTAGAACCCCAGTTTACTCTGGTGCAGGTGGTCTGTGGGCCACTTCGGGAAACATAGCACCAAAGGAATCCTTCCTAAAAGGAATATTCCTTCCCCCTAGTCTCCCTCTTTTTGAGAATCTACATTTCCTGCCCTGGGCTTGCTTTAAATGAGAAGCTCTGAATTATCCTGGCAGGACACACAGGTTGGTGTTATCGCACTCATCCTGCAGGTAACCATCCTAAGGCAGGTGTTTTGACTATCATTAGCTCTCATGGGAGGAAATTGACGCAGTGAGAGGTTAAATTTTTTACCCAACATCTCCCAGGTAGAAAGCGGCATGGTGGGACTCACACCTAGCCTGCAGGACAGCCCTCGGCCTTGGGAAACCAGCAGCCCTCAGGTTTCTCTTTATCCTGGTTCCCTGGCAGGAGGTGAAAGAGAGGCTTCCCACCTGTGGCTCTGACTCTGATGACCTTGCCCCAGCTCTGCAGGAGGGAGCTGCTCAGCAACAAGGAGGAGGCGTTGCTCTGAAGGGGGGTGAGAGAGCTGGGCCAGAATCCTCTGAGTGTGCAGGCATCCGGGAGGGGCTCAGCCTGCAAGAGAGCAGCACCCAGGGCCCCTGAGCTGTCATGGGGCCACCAGATCTCAGTAGGATGGTAGCTTCTGAGTGCTAGGGGCCTTTCAGATTCACCTCTGGGGAGGGGAGGGCAGGCCCAGGCTCCACCCTTGCTGGGGTGTTTGTCTGGGGCAGGTTCCCTGGGAGCAGAGCTTGAGGTAGGGGTCTGTGTGGAGGTCATCTATTGAAGGGGGGCCCTCAGGGAACACCCCTGGGAAGAAGCAGGGCAGAGGATGATGGGAGCCAGAGAAGTGTTTCAGGAGGAATCAGCCTGGCCCCCTGGCAGCTCTGAGCATAGGCTGTACGCAGAAGCTGTCTTCCTTGAGGGCACAGACATGGGAGCAACTATCTGACCCCATAGCCATCATTTGTTAGCCAACAGCTGCTTCACAGCAGCTGGGACAGGGGTGCCAGCCTGGAAGGGGGAGTTGGCTGAGATGTCAGTGGCATCTGCTGTGAGATTTCTCCTGAGTTTTCACTCCTTTGTAGCCATCCTCCTGTTGACAAGTCCTGACCTTCCTCTGCAGTACATCCCCCCAGTGGGCTCTGAATGGGGCCAACCCACCCCCATCTCACCACTAGGCATGTGTCAAGGGTCTGACCGATCAGAGGGGGAGAGAGATTTTCCATTTTTTGAGAGGTTGTCCCATCCTTACCTTCTCTGTTGGAGTGTTGTCTAAATACCAGCTAAAGGTGACCTCTGGGGAGCCATCTCCCAAGGCAACCCTGAGCAGAATGTCCTCTCCAGCATTCACTGGCTGACAATTCTTCTCACAGCTGAAAGGCACACAGAGGACACAGCCAGGAAGCTTCTTTGGGCAGTGTAGTGGTTGGGGTATTTGTCCCCTTCCAGCCTCATGCTGAAATTGGGTCCCCTTTTATTTTTTAATTAAATCATAGCTGTGTACATTAATGCAGTCATGGGGTACAGTGTGCTGGTTTTATATACAATTTGAAATATTTTCACCAAACTGGTTAACATAGCCTTCACGGCATTTTCTTAGTTATTGTGTTAAGACATTTATACTCCGCATTTAGAAAGATTCACATGTACCCTTGTAAGATGGACCCCCTTTTTGAAGGTAGAGTCTATTGGGAGGTGGTTGGGTCATGGGTGGCTCCATCATGAATAATAGATTAGTTCCCTTTGTGTGTATATGTGTGTGTGGAGGGAGTGGGTGAGTGAATTCTTGCTCTATTATGGTTCTCAACCTTCCTAATACTGTGGCCCTTTAACACAGTTCCTGTGGGTCACGACCCACAGGTTGAGAATCATCGTTCTATTAGATTCCCCTTCCCTTGTGCTGGAATTATAGGTGTGAGCCATGGTACCCAGCCATTTTTCTTCACAAATTATTTCTTTAAAGCAATATAAAATGGGATAAAACAGACTACCGGGATGATCTTCTGCCCAATCCTTTTCAATCTTTTCAGAGGGTGGAAAATGGCATTTGCTCAAATGAAAAACGAAATAAAAGTCACCCTGCCCAATCAATGCTGGGACAAAGCCTTGCTGTGGAGAGGGAGGGGCTGGCAGCCTGACAGAATTTCCATTTCATCTTCTCCACGGAGTGAGAATACGCAGAGTGCTGAGGCTAAGACAGGACAATGGGTTTGAATCCTGTCCCTGCCACTTACAAAAGTCACCTGTACAAGCCACTTAATCTCCTGAGCCCCACTTTCCTCTCCTGCAAAGTGAGGGGATGAGATGAGACAATTTCTTGATTCTTTCTAGTCCGAATAACAATAAGCTAACGCTGCGGTTTTACAGCACACACGCCAGGCACAAATGGCTTCCATAGCCAGTAGTTTTCCAGTGCTTACAACAGCCCTGTGGGTGATGTGTCAGGAGTCCCATAGCTCAGGCAGGGAAACCAGGTTCAAAGAGCTTCCGTGATCTGTCCCACGTGGGCGGACGGAATACAGACCACCCTGTCTGGATCTGAGCCCTGGGCCTCCTTGAATATCCTACTCATTCCCTTGAGCCAGTAAGAGATGGCTTTGGCATCTGCTGTATGTCCCATCCGTCCCCCAGGATGGCTCCTGAATCTTCCTACTTCTCTCTTCATGTCTGTTCTAGTTCTTATGTGTAGGATTCTCTCTATCTGCCTCTCTGTTCCATTCTCCACCAACTCTGCAGCTCTTTGCCCTGGGAGACTGCAGACTGCCCTCCCTGAGTCCCTGCCCCCTCTGTTTCCAGTTGGGTCCAGGATGGAAAGCCCTGATGATGGGAAGGTATGAGCAGAGCCATCCGAGAATTTGTTCACCACTCCCCCTGCTTGTTCTCTGTCAGGAGAGGCTGTTGGGAGGACCCTCTTCTGCAGCACCTGTTCCCAGGGGCTCCACGAGCACGGTCTCCACTCTCACCTCTGTGGTCCTAGGACTGATAAAAGCTCCCCTGTTGTCACCTGCATTGTCATCCCCCATTCATTCCTTAGCCCTGCCCACACTTGTAAAGAGACCCTGGTCTGGGGCGGCGCCTGCTCTCTTACCTAACCCAAGAACCCAACTTCTGGTTTGGGGCTTTTAGAAGAAAGGCATCAGGAACAACAACATTGGTGGTCTCTTATTGGCTCAAGGGAATGAGTAGGACATTCAAGGAGGCTCAGTGCTCAGATCCAATAAATATATATATATATTGAGACAGAGTCTCACTTGTCACCCTCAGTAGAGTGCTGTGGCGTCATAGCTCAAGGCAACCTCAAGCTCTTGGGCTCAAGAGATTCTCTTGCCTCAGCCTCCCAAGTAGCTGGGACTACAGGCACCC